AGTGGGTAACTGGGTGGGTGTGTTAGTGGGTGGGTAAGTGGGTGGGTGGGTAAGTTGGTGGGTAAATGGGTGGGTGGGTAAGTGGGTGGGTAAGTGGGTGGGTGGGTATTTGGGTGGGTAAGTGGGTGGGTGGGTGGGTAAGTGGGTGGGTAAGTGGGTGGGTACGTTGGTGGGTAAGTGGGTGGGTAAATGGTTGGGTAAGTGGGTGGGTAAGTAGGTGGGTAAGTGTGTGGGTGGGTAAGTGTGTGGGTAAGTGGGTGGGTAAGTAGGTGGATAAGTGGGCGGGTGGGCAAGTGTGTGGGTGGGTAAGTGGGTGGGTGGGTAAGTTGGTGGGTAAGTGGGTGGGTAAGTGGGTGGGTAAGTGAGTGGGTGGGTAAGTGGGTGGGTAAGTGGGTGGGCAAGTGGGTGGGTAAGTGGGTGGGTGGGTAAGTGGGTGGGTAAGTGTGTGGGTGGGTAGCGCGCGTGCGTGGGTAGCGCGCGGGGCATGGAGGGTTCCCGGCGTCTCCCTCACGAACCTTTCACGATGGGTACGGACTTCCAGATGGTGATTGGCCCCATGCTGGCGAACTGCCCGAAGGCGCACTCGAGGAAGAAGAGTGGCAGGCCGGCGAACGCGAGCATCACAGTGTAGGGGATGAGGAACGCGCCTGGAGGGGTCACAGCGGTGGGGTCAAGGCGGTGGGGTCAGCGTTGGAGGGACTGAGTGAGTGGGTGTATTAGTGAGTGTATTAGTGAGTGTATTAGTGAGTGAGTGTGTGAGTGTGTGAGTGTATTAGTGAGTGTATTAGTGAGTGAGTGTGTGAGTGTATTAGTGAGTGTATTAGTGAGTGTATTAGTGAGTGAGTGAGTGTATTAGTAGGTGAATGAGTGTGTGAGTGTATTAGTGGGTGTATTAGTGGGTGAGTGAGTGTATTAGTGGGTGTATTAGTGGGTGAGTGAGTGTATTAGTGAGTGTATTAGTGGGTGAGTGTGTGAGTGTATTAGTGAGTGTATTAGTGGGTGTGTGAGTGTATTAGTGGGTGTATTAGTGGGTGAGTGTGTGAGTGTATTAGTGAGTATATTAGTGGGTGAGTGTATTAGTGAGTGTATTAGTGAGTGAGTGTGTGAGTGTATTAGTGAGTGTATTAGTGGGTGTGTGAGTGTATTAGTGGGTGTGCGAGTGTATTAGTAGGTGAATGAGTGTGTGAGTGTATTAGTGGGTGAGTGTGTGAGTGTATTAGTGAGTATATTAGTGGGTGAGTGTATTAGTGAGTGAGTGTATTAGTGGGTGTATTAGTGAGTGAGTGAGTGTATTAGTGGGTGAGTGAGTGTGTGAGTGTATTAGTGAGTATATTATTGGGTGAGTGAGTGTATTAGTGGGTGTATTAGTGGGTGAGTGTGTGAGTGTATTAGTGAGTGTATTAGTGAGTGAGTGAGTGTGTGAGTGTATTAGTGAGTGTATTAGTGAGTGAGTGTCTGAGTGTATTAGTGGGTGAGTGTATTAGTGGGTTAGTGAGTGTATTAGTGGGTGAGTGTGTGAGTGTATTAGTGGGTGTATTAGTGAGTGTATTAGTGGGTGAGTGAGTGTATTAGTGGGTGTATTAGTGGGTGAGTGAGTGTATTAGTGGGTGAGTGTGTGAGTGTATTAGTGAGTATATTAGTGGGTGAGTGAGTGTATTAGTGGGTGTATTAGTGAGTGAGTGAGTGTATTAGTGGGTGAGTGTGTGAGTGTATTTATGGGTGTATTAGTGGGTGAGTGAGTGTGTGAGTGTATTAGTGGGTGTATTAGTGGGTGAGTGAGTGTGTGAGTGTATTAGTGGGTGTATTAGTGGGTGAGTGAGTGTGTGAGTGTATTAGTGAGTGTTTTAGTGGGTGAGTGAGTGTATGATTGAGTGAATTAGTGGGTGAGTGAGTGTGTGAGTGTATTAGTGGGTGTATTAGTGGGTGAGTGAGTGTGTGAGTGTATCAGTGAGTGTATTAGTGGGTGAGTGAGTGTGTGAGTGTATTAGTGGGTGAGTGAGTGTGTAAGTGTATTAGTGAGTGTTTTAGTGGGTGAGTGGGTGTGTGAGTGTATTAGTGGGTGAGTGAGTGTGTGAGTGTATTAGTGAGTGAATTAGTGGGTGAGTGAGTGTGTGAGTGTATTAGTGGGTGTATTAGTGGGTTAGTGAGTGTGTGAGTGTATTAGTTAGTGTATTAGTGGGTGTGTGAGTGTATTAGTGGGTGAGTGAGTGTATTAGTGAGTGTATTAGTGGGTGAGTGAGTGTGTGAGTGTATTAGTGAGTGTATTAGTGGGTGAGTGAGTGTGTGAGTGTATTCGTGAGTGTATTAGTGGGTGAGTGAGTGTGTGAGTGTATTAGTGAGTGTATTAGTCGGTGAGTGTATTAGTGAATGAGTGAGTGTATTAGTGAGTGTATTAGTGGGTGAGTGAGTGTGTGAGCGTATTAGTGAGTATATTAGTGGGTGAGTGTATTAGTGAGTGAGTGTATTAGTGGGTGTATTAGTGAGTGAGTGAGTGAGTGTATTAGTGGGTGAGTGAGTGTGTGAGTGTATTAGTGAGTGTATTAGTGGGTGAGTGAGTGTGTGAGTGTATTAGTGAGTATATTAGTGGGTGAGTGTATTAGTGAGTGAGTGTATTAGTGGGTGTATTAGTGAGTGAGTGAGTGTATTAGTGGGTGAGTGAGTGTGTGAGTGTATTAGTGAGTATATTAGTGGGTGAGTGAGTGTATTAGTGGGTGAGTGTGTGAGTGTATTAGTGAGTATATTAGTGGGTGAGTGAGTGTATTAGTGGGTGTATTAGTGAGTGAGTGAGTGTATTAGTGGGTGAGTGTGTGAGTGTATTAGTGGGTGTATTAGTGGGTGAGTGAGTGTATTAGTGGGTGTATTAGTGAGTGAGTGTATTAGTGGGTGAGTGTGTGAGTGTATTTATGGGTGTATTAGTGGGTGAGTGAGTGTGTGAGTGTATTAGTGGGTGTATTAGTGGGTGAGTGAGTGTGTGAGTGTATTAGTGGGTGTATTAGTGGGTGAGTGAGTGTGTGAGTGTATTAGTGAGTGTTTTAGTGGGTGAGTGAGTGTGTGAGTGTATTAGTGAGTGAATTAGTGGGTGAGTGAGTGTGTGAGTGTATTAGTGGGTGTATTAGTGGGTGAGTGAGTGTGTGAGTGTATCAGTGAGTGTATTAGTGGGTGAGTGAGTGTGTGAGTGTATTAGTGGGTGAGTGAGTGTGTGAGTGTATTAGTGAGTGTTTTAGTGGGTGAGTGGGTGTGTGAGTGTATTAGTGGGTGAGTGAGTCTGTGAGTGTATTAGTGAGTGAATTAGTGGGTGAGTGAGTGTGTGAGTGTATTAGTGGGTGTATTAGTGGGTTAGTGAGTGTGTGAGTGTATTAGTGAGTGTATTAGTGGGTGTGTGAGTGTATTAGTGGGTGAGTGAGTGTATTAGTGAGTGTATTAGTGGGTGAGTGAGTGTGTGAGTGTATTAGTGAGTGTATTAGTGGGTGAGTGAGTGTGTGAGTGTATTCGTGAGTGTATTAGTGGGTGAGTGAGTGTGTGAGTGTATTAGTGAGTGTATTAGTCGGTGAGTGTATTAGTGAATGAGTGAGTGTATTAGTCAGTGTATTAGTGGGTGAGTGAGTGTGTGAGCGTATTAGTGAGTATATTAGTGGGTGAGTGTATTAGTGAGTGAGTGTATTAGTGGGTGTATTAGTGAGTGAGTGAGTGTATTAGTGGGTGAGTGAGTGTGTGAGTGTATTAGTGAGTGTATTAGTGGGTGAGTGAGTGTGTGAGTGTATTAGTGAGTATATTAGTGGGTGAGTGTATTAGTGAGTGAGTGTATTAGTGGGTGTATTAGTGAGTGAGTGTATTAGTGGGTGAGTGAGTGTGTGAGTGTATTAGTGAGTATATTAGTGGGTGAGTGAGTGTATTAGTGGGTGTATTAGTGGGTGAGTGTGTGAGTGTATTAGTGAGTGTATTAGTGGGTGAGTGTGTGAGTGTATTAGTGAGTGTATTAGTGAGTGAGTGTGTGAGTGTATTAGTGGGTGAGTGTATTAGTGGGTTAGTGAGTGTATTAGTGGGTGAGTGTGTGAGTGTATTAGTGGGTGTATTAGTGAGTGTATTAGTGGGTGAGTGAGTGTATTAGTGGGTGTATTAGTGGGTGAGTGAGTATATTAGTGGGTGAGTGTGTGAGTGTATTAGTGAGTATATTAGTGGGTGAGTGAGTGTATTAGTGGGTGTATTAGTGAGTGAGTGAGTGTATTAGTGGGTGAGTGTGTGAGTGTATTAGTGGGTGTATTAGTGGGTGAGTGAGTGTATTAGTGGGTGTATTAGTGAGTGAGTGAGTGTATTAGTGGGTGAGTGTGTGAGTGTATTAGTGGGTGTATTAGTGGGTGAGTGAGTGTGTGAGTGTATTAGTGGGTGTATTAGTGGGTGAGTGAGTGTGTGAGTGTATTAGTCGGTGTATTAGTGGGTGAGTGAGTGTGTGAGTGTATTAGTGAGTGTTTTAGTGGGTGAGTGAGTGTGTGAGTGTATTAGTGAGTGAATTAGTGGGTGAGTGAGTGTGTGAGTGTATTAGTGGGTGTATTAGTGGGTGAGTGAGTGTGTGAGTGTATCAGTGAGTGTATTAGTGGGTGAGTGAGTGTGTGAGTGTATTAGTGGGTGAGTGAGTGTGTGAGTGTATTAGTGAGTGTTTTAGTGGGTGAGTGGGTGTGTGAGTGTATTAGTGGGTGAGTGAGTGTGTGAGTGTATTAGTGAGTGAATTAGTGGGTGAGTGAGTGTGTGAGTGTATTAGTGGGTGTATTAGTGGGTTAGTGAGTGTGTGAGTGTATTAGTGAGTGTATTAGTGGGTGAGTGGGTGTGTGAGTGTATTAGTGGGTGAGTGAGTGTGTGAGTGTATTATTGAGTGTATTAGTGGGTGAGTGAGTGTGTGAGTGTATTAGTGAGTGTATTAGTGGGTGAGTGAGTGTGTGAGTGTATTCGTGAGTATATTAGTGGGTGAGTGAGTGTGTGAGTGTATTAGTGAGTGTATTAGTCGGTGAGTGTATTAGTGAATGAGTGAGTGTATTAGTGAGTGTATTTCGTGGGTGAGTGAGTGTGTGAGCGTATTAGTGAGTATATTAGTGGGTGAGTGAGTGTATTAATGGGTGTATTAGTGGGTTAATGTATTAGAGGGTGAGTGTGTGAGTGTATTAGTGAGTATATTAGTGGGTGAGTGAGTGTATTAGTGGGTGTATTAGTGGGTGAGTGTGTGAGTGTATTAGTGGGTGAGTGTGTGAGTGTATTAGTGAGTATATTAGTGGGTGAGTGAGTGTATTAGTGGGTGTATTAGTGGGTGAGTGAGTGTATTAGTGAGTGTATTAGTGGGTGAGTGAGTGTATTAGTGGGTGAGTGTGTGAGTGTATTAGTGAGTATATTAGTGGGTGAGTGAGTGTGTGAGCGTATTAGTGAGTATATTAGTTGGTGAGTGAGTGTATTAGTGGGTTTCTTAGTGGGTGAGTGAGTATATTAGTGGGTGAGTGAGTGTATTAGTGGGTGTATTAGTGGGTGAGTGTGTGAGTGTATTAGTGAGTATATTAGTGGGTGAGTGAGTGTATTAGTGGGTGTATTAGTGGGTGAGTGAGTATATTAGTGGGTGAGTGAGTGTATTAGTGGGTGTATTAGTGGGTGAGAGTGTGAGTGTATT